ACATCCTATTACTCTGTGACAAAGACTTATAGAGAGTGTCACAATGCCACGTGACTCCTCAGAGTGTCGTATTGCTTGGTGACACCCTGGCAGGCAGGTTTGCATGAGCGCTTATGTTTAGCTGGATTTCCAGGATGTGGAGATCCTTTCTGCTGGCAGAAACCTGACACTGATCAGTGAGTGTCCAGCCAGGGTAAGAGCCCCCACCCATAGACACAGACACCCGGTACACACAGGCAGGGTAAGAGCCCCCACCATAGACACAGACACCCAGTACACACAGGCAGGGTAAGAGCCCCCCCATAGATACAGACACCCGTACACACAGGCAGGCGGTAAGATCCCCCACCCATAGACACAGACACCCGGTACACACAGGCAGGGTAAGATCCCCCACCCATAGACACAGACACCCGGTACACACAGGCAGGGTAAGAGCCCCCACCCATAGACACAGACACCCGGTACACAGAGGCAGGGTAAAATCCCCCACCCATAGACACAGACACCCGGTACACACAGGCAGGGTAAGAGCCCCCCCCATAGATACAGACACCCAGTACACACAGGCAGGGTAAGAGCCCCCACCCATAGACACAGACACCCGGTACACACAGGCAGGGTAAGAGCCCCCACCATAGACACCCCAGTACACACAGGCAGGGTAAGATCCCCCACCCATAGACACAGACACCCGGTACACACAGGCAGGGTAAAATCCCCCACCCATAGACACAGACACCCGGTACACACAGGCAGGGTAAGATCCCCCACCCATAGACACAGACACCCGGTACACACAGGCAGGGTAAGATCCCCCACCCATAGACACAGACACCCGGTACACACAGCCAGAGTAAGGGCCCCCCACCCATAGATACCCGGTACACACAGGCAGGGTAAGGGCCCCCACCATAGACACAGACACCCAGTACACACAGGCAGGGTAAGGGCCCCCACCCATACACACAGGCAGGTTGGAAATCATTTGGTAGACATACAACCAGCACTACCAATGTACTGACTCCCTGGCTGCAATCTGCCAGCCACCCATCAGCTCATTAACTCATCCAGCACCACGGAGAGAGCCAAACTGCTGGCTTGTTCCAAAGTTGCTCAGCAGCCAATCGCTGCTCACGTCTGCCTGTAGTAATGAGGAGTCTGATTGGTTGCTAGAGGTTACTGCACATGACACATCACCACTGCTTCATACATTGAATCAGCCAGTTGCTGTCATCAGAAAGCCAGCAGCTTGCATCAGTCCATGGCCTATCGCCGCTCCCCTCCGCTGTACAGGAGAAAGCACAGTACCACCCCCCAGTCTCAGCACTCGGCTTTATTCCACAGTATATGGAACCCTGCACTTCAATTCACATTTCCCGGCACCGCAGATCTTGTTTGCTTTGTCTAATAAATCGGAGTCATCAAAACATGTCAGCTTGTTGCATCACACAAGATATTATGAAGCGGGAAGGCATGTGCTCACAGGGCATGCTGGGCTTTCTAGTTCTATAACAGCACCCAACCACCATGATCATGCACGTTTGTTGGTTGTCATGAACTGCACTGAAAATGACAGCGCCTCCCTGAAACATCCACTAAGGGCAAAAAGATGGCAGGAAAGCAGTACTCAAAGGCTGGGACTTATAGTTCCCCCTAGCTGGGAGCCTATAATGGCCAAATACACACTACAACTAATGGGGTCTCCAAACTTTTGAAACAAAGGGCTTCAAATATTAGGGGGCTGGACTGTGGCCAGCAGGAGTGGGAAATGCCATGGCATTGGTGGGAGTAAACAATGCCATAGGCTTGGTGGTCAGTGGGAGTAAAAAATATTACATCCTTGGTGTCAGTGAGAGAAAAGTGTTCCATCACTGGTGTCATTGGGAGGAATGGTGCCTCATCATTGGTGTCAGTGAGAGAAAAGTGTTCCATCACTGGTGTCATTGGGAGGAATGGTGCCTCATCATTGGTGTCAGTGAGAGAAAAGTGTTCCATCACTGGTGTCATTGGGAGGAATAGTGCCCCATCATTGGTGTCAGTTGGAGGAATAGTGCCCCCATTGGTGTCAGTGGGATAAATAGTGCCTCATCATTGGTGTCAGTGAGAGAAAAGTGTTCCATCACTCGTGTCATTGGGAGGAATGGTGCCTCATCATTGGTGTCAGTGAGAGAAAAGTGTTCCATCACTGGTGTCAGTTGGAGGAATAGTGCACAATCATTGTTGTCAGGGGGATAAATAGTGCCGCACCATTGGTGTCAGTGGGAGGAATGGTGCCCCATCATTGGTGTCAGTGGGAGGAATGGTGCCCTATCATTGGTGTCAGTGGAAGGAATGGTGCTCTATCATTGGTGTCAGTGGGAGGAATGGTGCCTCATCATTGGTGTCAGTGAGAGAAAAGTGTTCCATTACTGGTGTCATTGGGAGGAATGGTGCCTCATCATTGGTGTCAGTGAGAGAAAAGTGTTCCATCACTGGTGTCATTGGGAGGAATAGTGCCCCATCACTGGTGTCAGTTGGAGGAATAGTGCACAATCATTGTTGTCAGTGGGAGGAATGGTGCCCCATCATTGTTGTCAGTGGGAGGAATGGTGCCCCATCATTGGTGTCAGTGGGAGGAATGGTGCCCCATCATTGGTGTCAGTGGGAGGAATGGTGCCCCATCATTGGTGTCAGTGGGAGGAATAGTGCCCCATCATTGGTGTCAGTGGGAAAAATATTGCCCCATCATTGGTGTCAGTGGGAGGAACGGTGCCCCATCATTGGTGTCAGTGGGAGGAATGGTGCCCCATCATTGGTGTCAGTGAGAGGAATAGCCCCCAACAGTGCCCAAAGGGCTGTATAAAGGCAAGTAAAGGACCACATCTTGTTTGGAGACCCCTGATTTAGACAATAGTGGAATCTAGGGGGCCAGTCATTGCACAATAAGGGGAGGCTGCCAGGTCATGCTGTGTCTTGTAGTACCTCACAAGCCCAAATGTAAATATATAGATTACATGGGACTCATTTGTTTCTAAGCTGACTCCATAAACAGGCAGGGCACGGCACAATAGATAGCACAGCCCAGCTGCTAGGCCATGCTGATACTGGTAGTTCTCCAATCATTAACAAATGCATTGTATATAATAACTTGTAACGGACCACAAAGGTGACATTAGTGTTCTACGATGGTGTCAGGTCCTGCTGGAGCTTGTAGTTCTTCAATAAACAGGGAGACCTTACTATCCCCTTGATGATGTTGTTAGCCTTTAAGAGGGCACTGCCCAGTGCTAGGCAGTCATTGCGCAGAGAAGACCAGCTAATCAGGCCGTGCTGGTGCTTGTAGTTCCCTGACAGCTGGCCATGTTTACAGCTTTGCTGCATATGGAAATATCTGTATATCACTGACAGAAAGCAGGCTGAGCCTTGTAGTCCCCCAACCATACATGGCCATATAGAGCAGGCAACAAAGGAGTGCCCATTCATTGAGGACAGGTATAGCCCCATGACTATACAATCCATGAGGTTTACTGACTGCATGGGAGACGGCAGAGCCCACAGTAGGCCAGGACATGCTGACACTTGTAGTTCTGCCCCAATAAATGCAGCACCCATGATGATCCATCAGACAGAGGCTGACAGCAGTGTCTGGTTACAGAGCTCAGTACAACACAATGGAGGCAGGACACACTGATACCTCCATTCCTCCACCATGTACAAGGCCTGCTCCATTACCGGAACCCCCATCATCAAATCACCCAGCCGATGGGGCTCATCATACAATGAAGCAGGGCATGCTGATGCATGTAGTTCTTCAGAGGACACAAGGCCTGTCCTCCATATATGGAATACTCAAGGTGACTACATGACCCATCTGATAGCACAGGGAGTGTCAGTGGCCTATGGCAGTGCCCAGTCATTGTACAATGAAGCAGGGCATGCTGAACCTTGTAGTTCTTCAGTGAATACAAGGCCTGTCCTCCATATATGGAACCCCCACAGTGACTAATGACCCATCTGATGGCACAGGGAGTGTCAGTATCCTATAATACTGCCCAGTCATTGTACAAGGAAGCAGGGCATGCTGGTACTTGTAGTTCTTCCATGGATACAAGGCCTGTCCTCCATCTATGGAACCCCCATGATGACTAATGACCCATCTGATGGCACAGGGGGTGTTGGTGGCCTATGATACTGCCCAGTCATTGTACAATGAAGCAGGGCATGCTGAACCTTGCAGTTCTTCCATGGATACAAGGCCTGTCCTCCATCTATGGAACCCCCACAGTGACTAATGACCCATGTGGTGGCACAGGGAGTGTCAATGTCCTATTGCAATGCCCAGTTATTGTACAATGAAGCAGGGCATTCTGTTACTCGTAGTTCTTTAATAAATACAAGGCCTGTCCTCCATCTATGGTACCCCCATGATGACTAATGCCTCATGGGATGGCACAGGGGGTATTGGTGGCCTATGGCAGTGCCCAGTTATTGTACAATGAAGCAGGGCATGCTGATCCTTGTAGTTGTTCAATGGCTACAAGGCCTGTCCTCCATATACAGAACCCCCTTGAGGACAATACATTCCAGCTGATGACACAGGGAGTGCCAAAGCCCACTGATCGCACCTCTGATCGGGGAATGCTTGTACTTGTAGTTCTTCAATGGTTACAAGGCCTGTCCTCCATCTGTGGAACCCCCACAATGACTAATGACCCACCTGATGGCACAGGGGGTGTTGGTGGCCTATGGCAGTGTCCAGTCATTGTACAAGGAAGCAGGGCATACTGATCCTTGTAGTTCTTCAATGGCTGCAAGGCCTATCCTGCATATATGGCACACCTCTGATGACAATACATTCCAGCTGATGGCACAGGGGGTGTAAGAGCCCACTGACTGCACCTCTGATCAGGGCATGCTGATACTTGTAGTCTTCCATGAATCCCCCCCAGAGGATGGCAGAGCCCCCTTGCAGAGGCCAGTCCTGTGACAATGAAGCCCCCTCCCCCTCCCATACTCACTGTCAGGCCGGTGCCCAGCACAATGACATCGTACTCTTCATCCATCCTGTGTCGGTGCCGGGAGGGAGCTCCTCTGCCTCTAGCACAGCTCTACTGAAATGGACCAAAGATGGCTGCACACCAGCACCGCCCTGTCTGCCTCCGCGACGACAAGTAGTTCACGAAGAAGAGCCGGGGCCCTGGGCGGCAGGAGGAGTCCGGGAGGAGAGGCAGAGGGCGGGGAGAGGCGGGGGGAGGGGGCTGAGGGCTACCGGAAGATGACCGGAGCGACTAGGGCTGAGCGGGGCGGGGAACGGGCGGCTGTGTCAGCGGAGGATGGACAGGGTGGATGACCTTGGTGATGAGGCTGGAGATGGAGATTCCTCCGCTGCATGCATCATCTTCCCTGGGAGATGCTCTAATGACATTACCCATCTATCGGCTGGTGTATACAGTGTGTGTGTAGATCGGGCAATATCATCATCATTCTCCAGTGTCACCTCATACATCGTACTCTGATACCGGGCATCCTATATATCCAGTAATGCCAACAGCAAAATCAGGATCCAATCTATGGATTATTACCTCTGATATCCATAGATCATACTCTGATACCGGGCACCCCGTATATCCATCATCATCAGGATCCATTCTATGGATTATTACCTCTGATATCCATAGATCATACTCCAATACCGGGCATACAGTATATCCAATAATACCAACATCATCATACTGAAGGAATGTGAGGGCCCGGCTTGTGAGCTTACTATCTAAGGAAGGGGGAGGTGATACAGAAAGGTGATAGCAGGATCCATTCTATGGATTATTACCTCTGATATTCATAGATCATACTCCGATACCGGGCATACAGTATATCCAACATCATCATCAGGATCCATTCTATGGATTGTTACCTCTGATATCCATAGATCATACTCCGATACCGGGCATACAGTATATCCAACATCATCATCAGGATCCATTCTATGGATTATTACTTCTGATATCCATAGATCATACTCCGATACCGGGCATCCCATATATCCAATTATACCAACATCATCATCAGGATCCATTCTATGGATTATTACCTCTGATAGCCATAGATCATACTCCGATACCGGGCATCCCATATATCCAACATCATCATCAGGATCCATTCTATGGATCCATATCTATTTACCTCTGATATATTACCCTCTGATATCCATTTTATTATTATTATTATTATACAGGATTTATATAGCGCCAACAGTTTGCGCAGCGCTTTACAATATAAGGGAGACAGTACAATTACAATACATTTCAGTACAGAAGGAATGTGAGGGCCCGGCTTGTGGAGCTTACAATCTAAAGGAAGGGGGAAGTGATACAGAAGGTGATAGCTGCGGGGGATGATCTGGCAGAGGTGATTCAAGTACAGTTCTTAGGTGGAGGTGGGGTAGGCTTCCCTGAAGAAGTGAGTCTTCAAAGATCGTCTAAAGGCACACGGGGTGGGGGCTGACCGGACATGCTGTGGTAGGGAGTTCCAGAGAATGGGAGAGGCTCTGGAGAAGTCCTGAAGGCGAGCATGGAAGGAGGGGATGAGGGAGCTAGAGAGGAGGATATCAAGGGAGGAGTGGAGTGGGCGATTTGGGCAGTATCTGTGGATGAGGTTGGTGATGTAGCTGGGGGGAGTGTTGTGGATGGCTTTGTAAGCTGTGGTTAGTATTTTGAATTTTATACATTGGGTTAGTGGAAGCCAATGAAGGGATTGGCAGAGAGGGGCAGCAGTCGCTGATCGATTGGTAAGGTGTATGAGTCTAGCAGCAGCATTCATAATAGACTGAAGGGGGGATAGCCTGTGTAACGGTAAACCAGTGAGGAGGGAGTTGCAGTAATGGAGTCGGGATATAACCAAGGTGTCGATAAGTTGTTTTGTGGGTGTCATTGGTCAGGAAGGGGCAGATTTTGGAAATGTTCCGTAGATTGAGGCAGCAGGATTTAGCCAGTGAGTGGATGTGGGGCCCAAAGGAGAGGTCAGAGTCTAGGATTACGCCTAGCACCCTGGCATGAGGGGAAGGACCAATGGTTGTGCTGTTGATCTTAATGGTAAAGTCGTGAGTGGGGGATCGGGGAGAAGGAAATATTACAAGCTCAGTTTTTGAAAGATTGAGTTTAAGGTAGTGATGTGACATCCATGCTGATATGTCGCTTAGTAGATTTGTGATATCCATAGATATCCATAGATCATACTCCGATACCAGGCATACGGTATATCCAATAATACCAACATCATCATTAGGATCCATTCTATGGGTTATTACCTCTGATATCCATAGATCATACTCCGATACCGGGCATCCCATATATCCAACATCATCATCAGGATCCATTCTATGGATTATTACCTCTGATATCCATAGATCATACTCCGATACCGGGCATCCCATATATCCAATTATACCAACATCATCATCAGGATCCATTCTATGGATTATTACCTCTGATAGCCATAGATCATACTCTGAAACCGGGCATCTCATATATCCAACATCATCATTAGGATCCATTCTATGGATTATTACCTCTGATATCCATAGATCATACTCCGATACCGGGCATGCAGTATATCCAACATCATCATTAGGATCCATTCTATGGATTACTACCTCTGATATCCATATATCATACTCCAATACCGGGCATCCCATATATCCAATAATACCAACATCATCATCAGGATCCATTCTATGGATTATTACCTCTGATATCCATAGATCATACTCCGATACCGGGAATCCCATATATCCAATAATACCAACATCATCATCAGGATCCATTCTATGGATTATTACCTCTGATATCCATAGATCATACTCCAATACCGGGCACCCCATATAATCAACATCATCATCAGGATCCATTCTATGGAATATTACCTCTGATATCCATAGATCATACTTCAATACCGGGCATCCCATATATCCAACATCATCATCAGGATCCATTCTATGGATTATTACCAGCAAACACAAATGCTCCTGCGCTTGGGGATGGACTCGATGCAGGCTACAACCACATTAAGAATGTCCTGGAACATGCACACCTTGCTGCCCTCAAATAGACCGGGGGAATCCAAATATACTGAATGAGGAAAGAAAAAACAGAGGGCGCACAGGCCTAGTGCATTACCATAAAAATGTTTAATAAAAAATAAAGTAGGTGTTGTACTCACAAACGACAATATAGTCAAGGCACATCATAAAGAACAGCTGGGTCAACACCGCGCTGAGTAACAGTCCGCAATAGGGAGTGTAGACATTAAATAGACTGACGCGTTTCGAGGACTTGCCTCTTCCTCAGAGCCAATTGACCAAATGTCTACTCCCTCTTTTATATGCTCACTACTAGTTGAACCAAAGGTCACATGGGCCGCCCTGGACACTCCCCTATGCAGGTGGAGGAGTCACAGGGGCAATTGAGATAGTATAAGTAAACACAAAAGATCTATAAACACATATATAAATATATATGTATAAATAAAACCATTGAAACTAGTGACAATCATAAAATCATATGAACCATCAGAAGTGTGCAAATTAAAAATAAATAAGTAGAAAGTTACACATATATATTAAATATTAAAAATCCTTCCCTGGTGATGCACTGCACTGCTCGCCTTTAAATTAATGGATGGATGAACGACGCTACGAAGCTGCCTAGTGCTCTGCTTGCCATAGACAACCATGGGACATGGATTTAATGAAGAAAATAGATCTGAAACCCAGCAGAGACACTTATTAATTCATAGAAATGCAGCCTACAGAGTGTGTACTATTATTCTAGTATAGTCATATGTGTGGCAATGGAGTGCACCATGGATGGATATGCATATGCAATACTATTTACAGGGACAAAGGAGATAAATCACTAGTATAAACATAAATGTTGATATAAAATGTTACAAAAAACTTCTTAATATGGTTCACAAAGTTTAAATAAAATTAAATAAGTATTGTCACAATATAGTATAATATGTGGTAAAATTGGTATAGTGTATGGTATACGTGTGTATGCATAAACATGGAAGCATAAGAAATATAAATATATTGGAAATAAAAAGAAAAATACATTTTTTTAAATAATTATGTAAAAAATGTATAAAAGATATTAATGTGTGTTATATATATGAATTATATAGATGTCAAAGGTGTTATGGAACAAGCACTTGCATAACAGGAAAGCAGTGCTCGGAGAGAGCTCACTGGACCACATGCGTGCGCACATGTGTGTGTAACACATCCATATGAGTAACTGCTTTCTGGTAAAAAAACATACATACATAAACATACACACACATATATGGAAACTGAATGAAAAATGGGTGACCAATGAAGGACCCATAGACACAGGTGCCTGGGAATTCGGTCGAACGCATGCGCCTAAGGGTGACATCATAAATGTAAAGTGAGCAACCTAATGTTTAAGGATGCAGGGTTAATGGTAGCTATACTGATGATACTAAAGTAATCATAGCTGATGAAAATAAACGGTAAACATGAGTACGCTAATGGCACAAATGTCAAATGAACTTTCCAAAAACGGTACGTTGCGGGCAAAAGTCTATATGTGTATGGCCAGTTTAGGAGGCAAATAAAACATGCCAGACCCATCTAACAGCGGCAGTTTTTTCTGCCCATATGAATGAGGCCATAATGCCAAAATTATCAGGATCCAGGACTCTATATTCTGTGTATCTCACAGTTATTATCCCTGATATTCAGTGCCATAGCATGTATAATATTCCAATAAGTGACATAAAATATCCTGTATGAGACAGGTTATGTACATACTGTATATCCACAACCCCAATTCTAAAATAGTTTGGACACTGTAAAATTTACATGAAAACAGAATGCAATGTTTTGCAAATCTCATGAATCCATATTTTATTCACAATAGAAAAAAGAAAACATCTGAAATGTGTAAATTAACAAAATTAACATTTTAAGAAAAAAAATAGGATAGTTTTGAAATTAATGACAACAACATATCTCAAAAAAGTTGAGACAGGGTCATGT